CCCCCGGGTGTCCAGGGCCCCTGGCCGGCCCCACCCTCTGTGCGCACCCGGCTCCCTCGCGGGAGCGGCCCTCTTGTTGGGCTCTGTCCGAGGTTAGTTTGGGGCTGGGCACCAGCCTCTGAAGTGCGCCCCAAAGTTGAGGACCATCGAGTTCATCCCGTGTTGACTGTTTCCTTGGTGTGTAAAACGGGTGCACCCTAGAGGTACTGGGTGAGGGCTATAGAGAGCGGGGAGCAGAACAGGCGGATCCACGGAAGCCCCCCGCTGGGGGGGGCGGGGAGGGGCCTGTGTTCTGGTCACTTCCTGGCCGGGATGGAACTCTGGCCTCAGAGGTGACAGCCCAGGCTGACCCTGGCCCCAGGGAGGGCCCCCACCGGCCGGGGGCGCAGCTGCCACACGAGTCACCCTGGCCAGGGTCACCCCAGGGTGCAGCAGACTCCCCACCCCCCCGCTGCCCCCTCAGCAGTGGATCTATCTGCTCTGCTCCCCACTGTCTCTGGGGTGTCCTCATCCACCTCTGGCCAGTACCCCAGTTCCGTGTGTATAAATAAACCTTAAAAAAAAACCATGCGTCTTCCGAGCTGTGACACAGCAGAGCCCCCAGGGCTGGGGGGCGGCCGTGGGCCGGGACAGGCCCAGGATGTTCGTGGCCCCCGAGACGGAGCCCCACTGGTGGCTGAGCCTGGGGTGCCCTGCAGCCCCGTCACCCCCCACCGCCCGCTGGGCTCCTTTCTGCAGCCCCAGGCCCCGGCCGTTTCCTGGCGGGTGGGCTGTGGGCACCTCACGGGGCGCCACCTCAGCCCCGCTGCCACTGGAGCAGGTCGCGGGGGCGCACGTGTGGCTGCCCCCCGCCGGGCGCCGGTGAGGCCAGACAGGTGCAGCCCGGGGCCCCCAGAGGCCCGGGTCGCGCTCTGCGGAGAAGCATCCTCCGGCTCCCGGCCGCGCTGCAGTTCGGCGTTTGGGGGTTCCGTGGCATGCGCAGCCCAGCCGGGCACAGCCACGCCCCACTGGGCCTGCACCTCAGCCGTGGCGTCCCCACGCTCCGGGCAGCGGCCCCGCCCG